ATGGCTCCTCTCTCGGTCAACAGTCTCCCAAAGCACTGTGGGCACAAGGTGCGGACCACCAGGAGCTGGCTGGTGCTGGTGGCTTCCTACAAAGGGTGTTACATCAGGACCTGGGTAAGGGCAAGTTCTGGGTCTGGACTCCCTGGGAGCTTGTGAGAGCAATGGTTCCTTAGTTGCTCCAAATGGCTCTACATCAGTGCTTTTAACCTGCAACCTCTTTTCCCCACCACAGAGGAAGAACCAGCAGCAACACTATGCTCTGACAGTGAGATACTATGACAAAGAGGGGAAGAGATGGGTGACTGGCACTGTGTCCTGCCATGTTCCAGTTGCCCCTCCTCCCCCACCCCCTAGAGGCCTGACCATCTCCTGCGGTGAGGTGTGCATGACTGTGACCCTGCCTGCTGGCCCTCTGGAGGAGATCAAGGTTCAGGGTGAGTGACTGGGGAAGGAGGCTGTTACTTAGCAAGACTGCTGCTTGTTGGCCACTCATGGACCAGGGGGCTTGAAATGGCATTTTGAACGGTTCCAGTGCTCCCTAAGTGTGCCTTGACATTGTGCTGATTGCTGTTTGGAGCTTCCTTATATGCCAGATGCACCTTAAAATGATAGTTGCCTCTATCCAGTGTGCCTGAATGCATACATGGCACCTGTTACTGATTTAGCTTTTTGTACCTGCAATATATGGAATTGGGTTCTTGTGTACCCTGTGCAGCTTCTTCTGGCAGCCTGGTGTCTGTACTGGACACTCCATCCTGTGGATACTCCGTGACTGCAGGGCGGCACCTGAACACCCTGACCGTCCTGTACACTGGCTGCCACGTTCGGCTTGTGGTGAGGCTGAGCTTGGGCTTTGCATTTCTTGAGTATTATATACCCTGTACTATGAGCAATGAACATGCCTTCCATTTCCAATTCTACAATATGCCTGAAAGTAAGACCCTGTCTGAACAAATGGGTATTGGTCTAGAAGCTGGTTCAGATGACCAGTGTTAATTTAGCCTGGTGAGTCGGACTAAATTAGAGGGCGACTAGAAAGTGACTGATCAATTAAGAAACATAAAACTTCTTGACATGAGGTGTGGAATAGATTCCTTCCAGCCAGTCTGTTATCTGTCGGACATGAAGTAAATGTGTGAACGGTGAACTTGATGTGCCAATGCACTTCAGTAGGAGTTTTAGATGGTATGACCTGTCGGATGAGTGTGGGTTCACTCCAGGATGCTCAACGTGGAATATATTTGTGAGCATTTAGTCCTTAAAATAGGATGGGGAGGGGGGAATTAACACTGCACATCATTCACCTTCAGGTTGTGGGCTGTAGACATGACTTCTGCTGTTCTACAGAATAGCTCTTCTGGTAGTTCTGGGTACTTTCAGATCTGGAAATGGGGTTGGCTATCTGCAACTGCATGTCTTATCCCTTTTTTTTTTCTTTCAGGACCAACACTACACTGTGAAGGTAGTGTACCATCCCAATGATGGCCCAAGAGGAGAGATTGTGGTGTCCTGCCCATATCGCCCCTACAAACCAAGGGAGGGTGAGTGAATAGGTTTGAGAGTTGGTAATGGGGCCACATAGCTGTGCTGATGGATCCTATTTGGTCTTCCCAGGATGTAAACTACCCAGGAGCCATCGGGTGCCCTGTGGTCCAGGGAGGATTTCTCCAGCCCACTGCCTGGCCAAGGGATGCTGTGTGGACCCAGAAACATCCTCTTGCTACTATCCACTGGAGGGTAGGGCTCTCCTTACTGACCCAGTCCCAG